CCTTTTTTTGGGGGGGGGGGGGGGCGTCACTCTCTGAATTTGTTCACAGAGCTTTTCAGAAACTGGGATACACAAAATATTGGTAAATTGTTGGTTATTGGTCAATATTTTTTTATTTATTTAATTTACTGGTCAGATTAGATGTATATCAGTTGATATGGACATTTATTGGATACTGGATAAGCTTTTGGAAAAGTCTTTGCTTTTTAAGCACACTTACAATGCCTTAAAATGCTGTCTATCATGCTGCTTTGGAAAAGAGTTTGTGACTCTTCATTTAATTCAGCTGTTCTGACCTGGTCTCTCAGCATGTCTAGAGTTTCTCTCTGTTTTCTTCGTTGGTCCTCATCCTGGGCAAAAGTAAAATATCCAACGCCCAGCTCTCTGGCCTCTGAAACAGACAAAAAAAATGCATGAGAGACATTATGAAGATGTAATTCAACACTCTCATAGAAGTACTAATTAGAGACATTTTCTACACAAAAGACAGGTTTAAGAGATCAATTCTCTCAATCACCTTGCTCTCTAATATTTTCAAAGTGAATGGGTCCAACAGGTTTCTTCATCTGCTCCTCTTCCTCTCTCTCCCACTGCTCTCTCTGCATTTCTCTCCTCATGTCCTCAGATAACAGTGTCCTGTCAACACCAGTCACCCTGCACACAATAAAATATACATAGATTGAGCAAGGACAATACCAATTAGTTACATAAAATAAAAAAATAAAGGTAAGTATAATAAATGTACCTATTGTTCTGGAGTTCTTGGTCCATTTTCTGAAAATCTGGTAGGTCTTTCCTCAGACATCTTCGAGAGCGTCCTAATGCATCCACATAGTCCACCCTGCAAAACAGAGAGCAAGAAACCCACAGCTGAGTTCAAATCATACTGCCTCTTCACCAGGTTTAAAACACATTTATAAACACATGGTACCATTCTTCATTTGCATTCTGTGGGGGTGGAACAGGGATGTTCACATCAGAGTCCTCTCCATCTCGGTCCCCTGCTACATTTGCAGTGCGTGTCTGTGGTTCATTTCTCTGGTTGATGATCTTCTGAGTGAAGTCCACCAGAAAAAGACTTTCAGTCTCTTCATCTAAAGATAAAAATAAATGTAGTATACTTCAATATCTGTTCATTTTTTGTTACACTAAAAACACCCAAAGCAGAATAAAAATGTATCCAAGAAGTGAAATATTTTAATCTGGCAATGTCAGCAAGCATATACCTGGGAAATCTCCTTTTGTCATCTGTTCATAAAGACGTGACTTTTCCTCCAATTTTTGCCTGCATAAGAAAAAATGCATCAGGAAAATATTATTATGATTATATTTCACAGATTGAAGGTGCTTTAAAGTATGCTTAGATGTATCTGAATCGTGTCTTCTATTTTAACATTATTATATTGTTCGGTGTATATTAAATATATTCCAAATAATGCTTTACTAAAATATTACATATTTGTCAATGTATCACTATATTATTATATTATAAAGTCAATACAATATATCAGCACTTGAAACAGTAGGGTGTGTAGTCTCTCATTACTATATCATATATTAATAAAAAACATAAAGTGGCCAAAAAGTATTTAGATGCACATAAAAAGTGAAATGTATTTATTTATTTATTAAATAATATACCCTCATTAATAGGAGTTATTTTTCTAATAAGTGAATGTCAGTCTACAGCACATAAAACAACTCATGAAATATTACTAAAGACAACAGTTTGTTATAAAAAAAACATGCATCATATACAATCCTCAAAAAGTATTTGGACACTTAAGCCATGTTTATATATGAAATTTGCTGTATTAAATTATCAAAACTGACAGTGTCAAACATGCTAGAACTTTTCACAGAATATACATTTTTGGGATCACTGCAGTAGATTTATATTTAAGTTATCTTGGATTATATACCAACATTCATACATTTTACTTTTTGGTCCAATACATGTCCAGTGAACAATACAAAAGAAAACGAATTGACGAAGAGGATATAAAGAATCAGGATCATGTAGTACCCGATGAAAGTTCATTCACCTGGATTTATCGAGTGTGTTTTCTTCCTCTGCAGTTTGATGAACGTCCCTCTGTGCTCGTACATTGACTCCTTCATTCTGTTTGCTCCAGATATTGGGCTTCTGTGAGCACATACACACACAACAGGCGTATTTATATAATAATTCAATGATCATATCTAGCTGTCATCAACTGTCCGTGCCTTACTTTTATTTTTATCTTAGGCTTCTGTGCGGCTCCTACATCTTGGCCAAGTCGGTCGTGGTTAAATTGTTCCTGTTTCCTATATAATTCCGCTTTCAAATCAACCAGCTGCAATGTCAATGAAGTAGATGTTAGTCAAGAGATTTAAAAAGACCAGGCTATCATTCCCAGTTTCAAAACAGGCACACAATGCAAGTTTGCTGTCAGCTGTCATGCTAAGCTAACTATAACACACAAACAAAACTAAAATGCTCCTTCTAAGCCTCTTGTTTAAAAGAGCACTTTAAGCACTCTAATATACTCACCGATGACGCTGTAATATTGTATGGTTTCTTCTTTTTATCCATATTAACTCTAGCTGTTCAGGTAATCCAGACTAACACTGGCAAGACTAACCTGAAAGGGAGAAATGTAGTCTGCCATCTACTGTCTCGGAGTCGGAGGTCACTAGGGATGGGCGATACCTCTTATTTTATTTTCGATCCGATACCGATATTTTCAAGCCCGATATCGATATCAGTTTAGTTTAGAAGATCGGTTTCGGTATCGATACCGATACCGATCCTTCTAAACTAAACTGATCTTTTAAATTATTGAAAGAATATATAATCAGTAATTATACTCACTTAATATTAGCTTTTAAAGCCATGTTTTTTTTAACATATGCCTTTTTTGTTTACACTTTTAGAAATAAAATATATTATAATTGTATATTTTAGCCCTTTAATTGGGCAGTAACCTCAAAGGTGCAACTATACCCCTAAAAGTGAGCATATTAGTACCATACTTAAGTATGCATGCTTTAAGGGTAGATAAGTTACAAAGGTGCACCTTTGAGGGTACCTCATGAAAAATAAAGATGGGGTTACATAAGTACTAAAATGTAGTATTATTATTATTATCATGGTGGATTTGTGGTTACTGCAGTTTTACTACAAATACTGTGGTAAATTGTGGTTAGTGTAATAAAACCATGGTTAATTTTTGTAAAAGGCTGCCAGGCTGTTGTACCCCTAAAGGTGAAACTTTAACATATTTTTTTCTGACAGATTTATTAACAGCAATTACAGAACATAACACAATCCATTTGAACTTTTAACAACAAGTTTAAATAAACGTACTTGCACAAACTAGCCAATTTAAAATAAATATTACATGTACACAAAAGTTTGGGGTCAGTAAGATTTTGTATTTTTATTTTTAAATCTCATGTTTTTTTAGAAAAAAAACAGTGAAAGCAGCAATATTGAGAACTATAACAATTAAAAATAACTATTTTCTATTTTAATATATTTTAAAATGTAATTTAAAATGTATCTGTAATCAAAGCTGAATCTTCAGCATCATTACTCCAGTCTTCAGTGTCACATGATCCTTCAGAAATAATTCTAATATGTGCTGCTCAAGAAACATTTATTATTATTGCTGCTGCTGCTTCATATTTGTGTGGAAACCGTGATGCATTTTTCAGAATTAATGTTATATATAGTAACAATGTAATGTAATAATGTGGCAATGCTTCTGATGCTTTTGGGAAACGCAGCCCTATTTGAACAAGCACTCTGAGCGAACGCTGTCTGTGATTGATTGGTTCTGTCTTTCAGCATTTGCGTGTGTTCCGATAATGGTTCTGGAGAAATGGTTCTATCCAACACAATTATTCGCTAATAAAGCGCAGACCACTATTAATTTATGTGAACACAGGTAGTTTTAGACAATAAACTGAGTTTATTTAATTAATATGGAGTATTGGCCAGCTAACTGATGGCATACACAATTGTTATTTTCTCTGCCAACTAAACCCAAGTCACAGAACCGTTGTGTACCTGACTGACTCGCAGTAGGCGCATAGAGTGGTGTATCATTCCTAAATGAATCAGTTTTTGAAAAACCCATTATTATAGACAACAATTCAATTACCAATTATTATAGACAGCCGCTTGATTTTATTCCTAAATGAATGAATTAAGCATTTTGAACCAATTGATTGAATAAAAGGATCCTTTATTAACACAATGACTTACAGCCACCTAGTGGCGATATTACTTTCATAATTCAAGTATTATTTAATTTTATTCATATTTCTATTAAAAATGTTGTATAAAACATTAATCTAATTTCATTATACATTTGTAAATGCACATACAGCCATCTTATCAGCATTAAACTGTAAATACATTTAAAAGCATCTTCAGACCCAGGTTCTATATCATTGAATACTGATTTGGTATGGATACTGAATTGGTAACAGCCTATTGTCGTATTATTCTAATTTATTTAATGTAAGAATTTAACATTAAAAATGACATAAAAACGGTAAAAGGTAAAAAAATTAAATTAAATAATTAAATAAATAAAAAACTGAAAATCAGTTGCCCCTTATGTGAAAGTTAATTTCTGATACTGCTGACACTGGCTTATTGTTCGAAGTGTTATTTCAGGGTTTGGATATGTTCTTATAACTCAAACGAGTTCACCTTCAAATCATGACGTCAAATTCACATTTCACTAAAGTCAATCACTGAAACAAGCACTGTGAGGAACAAATAGTCCCATGCCAGTGGGATAATAACAGATGATTTCCTACATTTGTATAAAGTGCTCTATGAATAAAACTCAAAATAGAAAAATAATAGATGTGCTGTGAAGGTAAATTACACAAAGTCATTTATTTTCATATCTGTAATATTATTTAAGTTCCTCCTTTGTCTAAACTGCAGCGTATTGTCTAAAACAAAAGTTATGACTGTATGTTCACATAAATTGATAGTGGTCAATACATTCTCCCCGTGCTGCAGTGCGTCGCAGCTTTTCCACACATATTTTAATGGGTGGATAACTATAATAAAACAGGCATGCCTAGGGCCAAAAGGCTCTGCTTCAGTATGGTTTGTGTCAAGCCATTCATTAATCTGGCTGTTTGATGAAGAGATAAAATGTAGTAGAAATAAACATGTTAAGAATCAATAGAAGCGGAGGACTATTATTAAGGTTTTTTTAGGACTATTATTATGTTGTAATGTTTGGTTGACCAATTAGCAGAGAGGGGCGTTTCATTCCCGCCCACATGTAGAGATCGAATATTCAAGTTGTTTATTCGTTTTCTATCCCTGAATGTAAAAACAAAAAATTAAGCCGGATTCTTGATTTTTCGTTTTGTTTGAATAATTGAAAAACGAAATATGTGCCGTTTTTCATTTTTCAGATTTCAATATTAAAACAAAAATGGATTGGACGGAAGATACCCTGATTCTAGAGGTCACACTACAATATTATTTTGAAATACTGTGGTACTTTTTTTGCTAGTGAAACATGAAAACTGCAATTTTAACGTCAGGTTGCTTCAAACTGACTCCAAAACATGTTACCAATGTCCAAAAATATGACATTACGCTGGTATCATGTCTTAAAAAACCATGGTAAGATTGGACGGAAGATACCCTGATTCTAGAGGTCACACTACAATATTATTTTGAAATACTGTGGTACTTTTTTTGCTAGTGAAACATGAAAACTGCAATTTTAACGTCAGGTTGCTTCAAACTGACTCCAAAACATGTTACCAATGTCCAAAAATATGACATTACGCTGGTATCATGTCTTAAAAAACCATGGTAATACTGTGGTACATTTTTTGTTAGTGAAAAATATGAAAACCAAAAGTTTATGCTTCAAACTAACGAGCTCTTAACATGTAACTCTATAAAATGGTACTTTGTTACATTATTATTATTGAAAATGAATCAAATGCAAACCAGAACCATAAAAGTAAGTGTCAAATAAGTTTTGCACAAGGATAGGATAATGTTGAACATGCTGCCAACCACGTACAAAGGTGAGTCCACTTAAAAGTGCGTGTCCACACCAAGTAGGCCCCATGTATTCCTGTTACAGAGGAATTACCAGGTCAGTCAAATAAACCTGCCATGGCAATAGTTCAGTGGTCTAGTAACACTACTAGATATTGACTCAACAGTGAACCACCATATGACTTTGTTATCATCATATTCACATCACCATAAGGAAAATCACTTTGTCACTCACATAGGCCTACAGTAATAAGGGAGTTTTAGTTATGTTTGTATTCAGTTACAGTTGTAGACTTTAATCCTAATTGTTAACCAAAGGCTATTATAAAAGTGAGAAGCAGATGTGCAGACCTACAGAAGCAGTTTGATCATTACAGAAGGTGGGGTTGACTTTTATTTTTTTACTATTTCTATGCACTCGGCGTATAGCAGATTAAATACTTTTAAAGTGCAGCCATTAAGAGTGTTATCATAAAACAGGTGACTTCCCAGGATGCCGCAGCGTTGTTGTGCCAGCCACATGTTTCTGCTCTTATGTGCTCTTTCCTTGTGTGTCGAGTCTGTAAGAGGCGGCACCAGCTTCCTCAGTCCTGCTCAGAAACCACAGGTGAGCGTATGTCTGGTGGATGTGTTTGAGATATTTTGGAAATGAATGCATTTTAAGATGTAAATTAAAAAAATTATAATAAAGCATGTCAATTTTACATAAATTAATGCTAGAAGTTTGGCATCAAATATGTGTCCAATTTTAAGGGTCGAAGGCCACCACGGGTGGGCAGAAGAGATGCTGCAGAGCCAGAGATCCCAGTGATTAAAGAGAATGATCAGTTTATGGTAATAACTCAGTGCAAGTGCACATTTAAATAGGATTTCAATGAGTTACTACTTCAGTCATACTTTGTTCTCACCATTTATTTAGGCGAGTACTCCATTCGAACTGTCTCTGAGTGAAGCAGAGTATGAGAAATACGGTCCTGTGCTGCAGAAGATTCTGGTGAATCTTCTTAGTGATTTCCCACTTGGTGAGTTAAACTCTTATTTTAAGAACAGATCCATACCAGTAACTATGAAAATCAAATGGCAAATGCAATAAAGCATCTATGTGTTTTATTACAAACAAAATTCACTATGGAAATTGGTTCTATTTCCCAGAAAGTGTCTCAAATTCTTAAAGAACCTTAAAACTAAAAGTGCTTTCTGGCAGATAATTCCTCAAGATACTGTTTGCCGTTGTCTTCGAATAATTTTAGTGTTCTACAAAATTACTAATATAGTAAATGTGTGTTCTTTTTTCAGAATTCTGACTAGAGCTACCAGTTCTACAAGATTCAACTCCTTAAAAACCAATAAAAATGTTTGTAAATTAAAATTACGTAATCATTTTCCAACACCTTGATTTGACAAAATAAAGGATGACAAAATAATTTTCTGCCTCTGGTTTCTCTTTTCCTTGCTCAATCACATCCGTTTCACATTCAATGAGGTCTCAAATGGAAAAGCAGCCTAGTCTTTCTTAAAAAATGAATTTCATAAACCCACTCATGTTGCATATACAAGATCATTTATTCAATCTTCCCATTTAGACAAAAGTTACATTTATATAAAACCAACAACTTGGTAAAAGCTATTTGTTGTGGTTTTTCACAATCTGTTTCACACTGTCTTTTAGCATAAACTTTCATGTCATGGTGTAAGGAAAAATGACTTATTCTAATACAAGGGAAGACACAAGCTGGCATCTTATGTCACTTATGTCTCAAAAGCACACATAACTTGTAAGAATGTATGCAGACACATGACAAAAGAATCCTGAGAACAAAGAACCATTTTAAAACAATACTGAAGATATATTAAAATGAATCATTACTAATGTTTTTAACAGATGTGAAATTACCTACAACACTTACAAAACTTAAGTATCAATGCTCATACACTTAGCACATTGAAATATAAATTTTAACTTTTTTTTGCAGACATTGTTATGTAAACACGAGGAAAGGGTCAAGGAAATCACATTCAAGACCATTTAGTTTGGAAATAAATGCCAAAGATGCAAGACTAAGCTGATAGCAGCTGGACTAAGATTGCAAGGACTTCAGTTGCTATAGTAACATGGAGTTTCTAATCACAGACCGTATATGTGTCTAGTGTTCTGCCGGACTGTTTGCAGTACTGTGGTTAGGCTCTCTCCCTTCAGCAGACTAATCTCATGCAGTGTGTGTATGCCCATGCCAGGGTGAGCAAACCTGCATGTGGACTTAGGCACCTGTAGAGAGAGGAAGAGCGGTGTGTACATGTATATTAAAGAATGACAAATTAAGTAAGGCATGCAATGTATGCAAGCGGAATCCAAAAATGTGCGCTAAGATACTGATACCTGTCTGGGTACGAAATATGGTGCATCTGTCTCCAGTAAGATTCTGTCGAGTGATATTTTCCTCACGGCGTCTCGAGCCTCCACAGCGTGATGGTACGTCACAAGTCCAGTGAAACCCACACACAGGTTAGAGAATTCACTTAGGAATGGCTCAATCACAGAGTAGCTGTTGGTAAAACAGTGTCTAACATACAATGACACACGTTAGAAGACTATGAAAATAAATACATTATATAAAATCAATAGGTTTATTATATATATATATAAATAACAGTTTTTGCTGCTGACACTACCATCCAAAAGTTTGGGGTAAGTAGAATTTAATAAAGTAAAAAGAAATTCATGCTTTTATTCAGCAAAAGTGACAGACACTTTTAATTTTACAAAAAAAAAAAATATTTCAAATAAATGCTGTTATTTTGAACGTTTATTCAAAGAATCCTGACCAAAATAAATCACTATTAAAAAAATAATGTTTTTCAACATTTATACTAGTAGAAACCATTATTAATAATTAAGCACCAAATCAACTTATTACAATGATTTCTGAAGTATCATCTGACACTGAAAATTGAGTAATGGCTGCTGATAGCTTTGCCATCACAGGAATAAATTACATTTAGAAAAAGAAAACGGTTCATGGTCCGAGTGTTTGTTTTATGAGAACTGACCTGTGTATTTTGTAATCTCGGGGGACACATTTCTTCATAATTTTCAGAACATCGTCATCAGCGTCACGGCAATGTATGACAAGAGGCTTCCCGAGAGAGACAGCCAACTGCAACTGCCGTTCAAACACCTTGACACACAAAGACAGAAATGTTTAAAAAAAATAATAGATTCTAGCATAATATAAAAACAGTTGGAAGTAATCATCCTGTTTGCCATACCTCTTTCTGCTTCCTTGAGTCTGTGGAATTCTTATACGAGTAATCCAAACCAATCTCTCCGAATGCAATGGTCTTAGGGTGACGCATAGCACCCATGATGCTTTGCTCATAAGCATGGTTATACTCCTTGGCAAAATGCGGGTGGCAACCAAAGGCTCCCCACACTTTCTCCTCTCCCAGTAGCCCTTCCCAGATGGCCTCTCTCTCAGTGATTCGTGGGTTGCAGAAATCTGCGATACAGCCCCTAAACTCCATTGGGAAACTACTTGCATACTTGCTCCGAAACTTTTGGAAACTTCCCCGGAAACCCAACTTCCCATAGAGCATGTCAAGGTGACAGTGCGTGTCAATAAATCCTGCAGAATCTGCTTTTGAGTAGTTCAAATCTGACAGCCAAAGAGGCTCCGAGCCAACAGACATCCTGCGAGTGGCACCGTCCGCAGCAAGGAGCATCTGTGAGGATGCGTAAATATTTGATTCTGAAGTCCTGCGTGTAGTAAGAGGAGAGTAATCCCAGTTACCAGATGTAGATGGAACGGAGGCAAAGGTTCTGAGCCCGGGGAAAGCATCGACCAGTGTAGAAGTGCTGATGATAGACCGTTGTAATTTGAGAGACCGCCTAACTGTCTTACAATGTGAGTAGTTCTTAGGTGGATCGAGGTCAGAGGCTGTGTTCTGAGGCGGAAGCTCTGACAAGAGCTCCATATCCCTGGCTGGGATTGTTGGGGAAGTGTCACAACCTTGTGGCTCCAGTTTCCACAGGGCTTGTGGGAATATTGAAGGCTTTAAAGCTGGTGATGAAGAGTAAGGCTTGCATTTCAAAGGTGGAGGAGTGTCACTGAAGTCCACAAGCTTACAATCCCTTTTAAGCCCAGTTGTTTGTCGCCGCTTCGGTTCCAAAGACTCATCCTGTGAGAAAACTTCAACCTGCTCGGAGTCCTCAACATCTGACCAATCTGGCGATTCTGGACGCTTTAGGATCACACTCTGTGCACAGAGACAAAGTCAGTATCAATTCTCTTAAAAGACATTTATAATAGTGCATGCTTATATATATATATATATATATATAAATAAATATATAACAGTTCAAGTTTTTCGATAGTATGATTTTTTGATGTTTTGAAAGTCTCTTAAGCTCACCATGGCTGCATGTATCCGATTATAAATATAGTAAAAACAGTATTGCATGCATATTGTGAAATATTGAAAATACTGAAATTGATATAATGGTTTTAATATAGTTTACAATGTAATTTATTCCTGTGATGACAAAGCTGAATTTCAAGTGTGCTTAAGAAACATTTCTTATTATTATCAATGTTGAAAACATTGAATTGAAAAATATATTTTTTCCCCAAATTGTCTGTCAATTTAACACATTCTTGCTGAACAAACATTTAATTTATTTTAAAAAGTAATAAAAATGATAAATAAATAAAATCAAAAATTGTATCCATTACCATGGTGTCCAGCTTTATTTCGGTCCCATCATCTTCTGCGTCTATGAACTCCAGAGGGGGAGGCCCATCATCTGTATTCGTGATCAGTAGTTCATTCTTCTCACTGAATGAGCAGCAGTCAAGCTCAGAGGTACTTTCCTCCTCAATTGCCTTTATAAGCTTGTCTGGGGTTTTCTTTGCAGATAGACTTTTAGGCCCACCAATTGATGACTTTTTGTTTGCATCCCCCATTGCATCATTCAGTGCTTTAAGGAGAATTACTTTCTGCCCTTCAGGACTCCTGCGTTTCTTTCCAACAGAAGGAGGTGAAGGTCCAACAGAGGATTGCTGTCCTGAAACAGTGTCCTATATGTCACACACAAAACACAAATCCAGTCAAATATATGCAATTTTTAAATACAGATATTTCTACAATTAAAATACACAAACATATAATTCTTATTGTTACTTACCTCACCAGGACTCTTTTTTCTTGACAGTGCTCCGTGGCGTCCAGTCAGTTTTAACCGTGTTTTGGGTGTACTGCTTGGAGTGCTGAGACACATGTTCTCCATGTCGCCCAGTCCAGCTGACCCAGTAGATGTGTTGAGTCCAGGAGAGCTAACCTCACTCATACCTCCATCCTGACCACTTCCATCCCAGCATGTTGGCTGTGCCACACCCACACTGTTCTTCATGAGCTTTCTTGGGGATTCCACATTCAGCCATGTAAACTTCACCTTTTCCCTTTTGTGGTTCATCGTACTAGGACCTTGAGAAAGAAAGGAAATGTATACATAAAAATACATAATCAAAAATGAGAAACACAAACAGGTGCAGCCGTTTCTAAACTCTATCCGAGAAGGATTCACTTGCAGGTTCTTTGAGAAAACTGAAAACAAGGCAAAACTCACGGTGGAGATGGACTTACAAAGAACTCTGACGCTCACTTAAGTTAAATAGGGATTAATATTCATTCAATATTTACGTGTTTAAAAACTCCGTAGTCGGCAGATGAGCATTTCCTGTAGGTTAGTTAAAATTTAGAAACACATCGACGTCTCCTTTATACTTATTTTTATACATGAATAAATAAAAGGCATAAACCTGCATTCGATGTAAAACACGTTAGCATTTTCATTTAAAGAGCTATTGGTTAATTACAGACGCTAATAATTAGCAAAACCTCATGTCTGGCCTAAACCTGTGACCCCACGCGTCAGAGCACATAATCACAAGAACGGAAAACAGTCTGAAAGTGAGTAATAGTGTTGATTAAACCCGTTTTAGTTTAAGCAACGGCAAAGCTAATATTACAAACCGTAACACCTGCACGGATGAAGAACGTTCAGGTGGATCACGTGCGTATGTAATTAGCGATGAGTTCACTCCTGTCAACACTCAACTGGACCCAGACGGCGTTGCACGATGGTGAACGCTGTTTGAGAAAGTACTGAGTATGGAGTGTGCACCTGTTTTTATACAGTCTATGGTGTGCACATATCTAGCACGTATTTAAGGGGATAAGAAAATAAACATTTCATTTGACTTACAATTGCATTATCGTTTATCTTTTTTTTTTGCGGTTGTATATATCTCGTTATGTCTCCCCCCCCCCCACTTAAAGTCAATTCGTGCATAGAAGACTTACAAAAAGCTCCCCAGGAAAACAAGTTGACCTTTTGTGACAACATGCCCCATTCAGGCTATTATAGGCTTTTCAGCAAATTGTAGAGTTCAAAAAATGTAAACCACAAAACAAGTCATATAAAAATACAGAAACAGCAAACCATTTTTTTGGCCAACAATATTGTAATGAATAATTTGTTTAAATGTATAACATTTAAAACTCGCCCCAGGCTTAAAGTTATTTTTGAAAAACCTTGTCCCAAGTACACAATTTACCATTTTGGTTCAAATCTAATAGTGTTAAATAATTCACCCTTACCTGAATGTAGGAGCTTCTATTGTGTTAACTTGTTTACCCCACAACTATTACAAAAAATAGGGGTTTAGTTTTTAGTTATTCTAATTATTGTCTTGAAGTAGATGTTTGAAACCAAGCAAAAACCATTGTTAGAGAAAACTACTTATATATACACATACATATATAATTACATAAATACACACATTTGAACTACGTTCAAATGAACTTTCCAAATATGAAGCTGATAAAAAGAGTAAAAGTATACAGAGAACTGTAACCAAAAATATTGCAAGGTCTACCACACAGACAATCACACAAAATCCGCATTTTCTAAAGTTCTTTCTGTGGACTCAGTGCCTGTCACTGAAACCTAAAAATACCTATGTTTAAAGCGTCCATTTGCTTAAGAAATATTCCTCCTGATCTGAGGTTTATCAACACTGTATTTTACAGTGCCAGACTATATTGTCCATTTATGGTGCTGGTGCACAGGTCTGCTCAGTAAATACGCCCTCATTCACACTCATATTTTCATCTGTTTTGCTGTTCTCTGTTCTCCAGTAACTTCTGTTCCACTCGCTGGCTAATGCGTCGTAGATCGGCGTGAATGCTGGGTCTCCGAGCAAGGTCATCTTGTAGGCAGCGGGCGATCTCCAGCCGACAGATATGTTCTCTGCGAACCAACCGCCTCACAACTTGCAGACAGCGATCTCGCAAGGTCAACACTGGTAAACACAAATATAAAGTGGAAAGTCAATTTTAGATTTAAAAAAAAATTCTGATTCTGTTTGCTGATACCATAATTGACCCTTCGCTGGGAGTTTGATTGACATGCAATTTGACCAATCATAATGCCGAATCTGCCATTTTTGTCCGACAAACAAACCAGACAAGAGAGTAGATTAATGACGGTGGACTTGAACTTGAAAAATGGTGTGTATTAACATCTTGCAGCGGTTGAATCAAGATACCTTCTGATATTCATTCATGTTTATTTTGTGTAATAACTAGTAAAGAGGAAGAGATGATTGGTTCACGTGCCACTTAAACTGAGGCACTTCAGCAATCTGTCACGTCACATTAAAGAGCCACGAAACGGTATTCATTGTTTGAATTTCTTAAATAATGACAAAATTTGAAAGCTGAGTCTTTGTTTCATACTTAAAGTAACCTGCTCTTTTTCACTGCGTCAGAACATGATGTCTAGCGTGAAATGCCATGGCTTGTCGAACGTAACAACAGTTATGAAGGGGGTTCCCAGAAAATGTAATATGCAATGCTTAGAAATACAATTATCACAGTGATCTCAATATTAGTGTAAGAATTCAAATGTATAAAATGAATGGTCAATTGGTTATCAGTCTGAATGAAAAATGTATACCAGGGAATGTGATGTTGGAGATTGAGACTTGTCCATTTTCAAGGTGGGGTGGCAAATACATCTCTTTATTACTGACTACCATTGGATCATCAGTTTCTGCATCCCGAAACATCCATGGATGTCCTGACAGAAACAGAAAAACAGAAGCAGAAAGATGTTAAAATAGATCATTGCACTACTTAACCCATATTCAGTTACATAGACTATATATTTCAGATAGTCCTTTTTTGGCATTAATAGGTAAAAAACAAACAAACATGAAACCAAGATGTAAATGGATTCGAATCACTTACAATGGGGTCAGGTGTTAATTTTTAAGTGGTTTCTCCGGAGACTAAAAATCACTTTTGGGAAAACAGCTCAGCTGTGTCCATGTACTCTTTGTTAGTTCATGCTATCAAACCAGAGCATGTGAGCGGAGCGGAGCGAGAGCGGAGCGGGGAGCGGAGTGGTAACACGTGCGCCGGTATCCGGCTAACCAGAGATCGGACCAGCGGCAGCGGTTGCTGCCCCTCCGGAGATTCCTGAGGCATCGTCAAAGACAGGACAAGACCAATTCAAAGATACGAACACTAGCTACGCTGCATACAAATAAATACACAAACTAACGTTAAAGTTCGCTTCTACATCGAACTCATAAGCCACAGCCCAAAGCATCAGGGAATGGAGGGAACAGAGTGTGTCCGTGACTGTCAACATTTGTCTGTACAGCTTGTCGTCGTTTGTTGTGATTGCGTAATCATGTGAGAGCCAGTGAAGACGACAGCGCGGCTCCTAGCGACACCTCCCTCTGGTGGTTTGTTCGGGAATGAAAACATGACGCATGTGCTCGAAATGAAACATTAAATTATTACAATACTGTTTACGTCTCTTTAAAAAAAAGTGGCATATGAAATAGTAGGAATTATGCAAAACAGACGTTTCAAACTGTAGTATTGTGATATGGCAATGTTTGGATTAGTAGACTATATTTCTAAAGTATAAACAAGATTTTTAATTAAAATGTATTTTAAACAAACATTTCAGTATCACATTACAATAAAGTCTCACTAGTCAACATTAGTTTATGCATTAGCTAACAATAAATTGTTAGCTAATGAGCAATAAATTTGTAACAGCATAGTCTTTGCTAACATTAGTTAATAAAAAATACAACTTAGTTCATGTCTGCTCAGGTCCATTAAATAGATAATTTAATTTTAATAATGTATTAGTAAATGCAGAAGTTAACATTAACGAAGATAAATAAATGCTTTAGAAATATTCTTCATTGTTAGTTCATGTTAGCTAATGTTCACAAATTGACAATTCCAAATGGAAATTTCCTTGGAACAGATTAAACTCTCTGTGACATTTCCAAAGCGGTTTATTGATGAGAATTTATCAGTACTGAACAGTATTTAATCTCTTGAACATTACAGATATGCAAGTCAGCATGTATCATGTGTGTGTGGGTTTTCTTATTATTACATCCATGTAACTGACTAGTGAAGAATGAACATGTTTGTGTGCTGATTTTCTGTGTAAAGTGTGTATTTTGCACTCCATTTAATGAACATGTGAATAGAATCTTTATATTTTAGTAAGTTTCTCAATGCAGACTGTAGTTTCTCGGCACACCAATTCTGTTCTGGATACACATTTTTGGCTCTCAACTCAACATATAAATCATGTCATCATTCAAGTAAATGGTATCCAAATAAAACAATTATAAAGAATGAAGCAAAACAGAGAAACTGAGAAACACAAAATACCTTTTGAGAGTTGCACTTGATATTGAGTCTAAATAACATAACAGGTAACTCCCTGATATTTCCTTGATTATTGACCGCTTATCAAACCAAACACTTCGGTGTTCTGAACAGTTTGTTTTGCCTGGTGCAGAACATTTTTGTTGAGCCATTTTGTGCATTGACTGGCATAAAACATGGATAAGGAGTAGCAGGCTGAAAATAGTAACCCTAAACAAGTCAAACGTCTCAGACAGTAATTTTCCAAATGTATTTAGACCATAATACAACAATAATCGTACGAACCCACATAAGTTTCCATTCTTTTTCCGGTGTACGGCTGAATATCTACGTATGGCTGCGGCTCCCCACGGAAGTTGATCCAGACGGGCTTTACAACTCGCGGACTGCGGTTACAGAACACCACGTGCGCCGGTATCCGGCTAACCAGAGATCGGACCAGCGGCAGCGGTTGCTGCCCCTCCGGAGATTCCTGAGGCATCGTCAAAGACAGGACAAGACCAATTCAAAGATACGAACACTAGCTACGCTGCATACAAATAAATACACAAACTAACGTTAAAGTTCGCTTCTACATCGAACTCATAAGCCACGGCCCAAAGCATCAGGGAATGGAGGGAACAGAGTGTGTCCGTGACTGTCAACATTTGTCTGTACAGCTTGTCGTCGTTTGTTGTGATTGCGTAATCATGTGAGAGCCAGTGAAGACGACAGCGCGGCTCCTAGCGACACCTCCCTCTGGTGGTTTGTTCGGGAATGAAAACATGACGCATGTGCTCGAAATGAAACATTAAATTATTACAATACTGTTTACGTCTCTTTAAAAAAAAGTGGCATATGAAATAGTAGGAATTATGCAAAACAGACGTTTCAAACTGTAGTATTGTGATATGGCAATGTTTGGATTAGTAGACTATATTTCTACAGTATAAACAAGATTTTTAATTAAAATGTATTTTAAACAAACATTTCAGTATCACATTACAATAAAGTCTCACTAGTCAACATTAGTTTATGCATTATTTGTAACAGCATAGTCTTTGCTAACATTAGTTAATAAAAAATACAACTTAGTTCATGTCTGCTCAGGTCCATTAAATAGATAATTTAATTTTAATAATGTATTAGTAAATGCAGAAGTTAACATTAACGAAGATTAATAAATGCTTTAGAAATATTCTTCATTGTTAGTTCATGTTAGCTAATGTTAACAAATTGACAATTCCAAATGGAAATTTCCTTGGAACAGATTAAACACGCTGTGACATTTCCAAAGCGGTTTATTGATGAGAATTTATCAGTACTGAACAGTATTTAATCTCTTGAACATTACAGATATGCAAGTCAGCGTGTATCATGTGTGTGTGGGTTTTCTTATTATTACATCCATGTAACTGACTAGTGAAGAATGAACATGTTTGTGTGCTGATTTTCTGTGTAAAGTGTGTATTTTGCACTCCATTTAATGAACATGTGAATAGAATCTTTATATTTTAGTAAGTTTCTCAATGCAGACTGTAGTTTCTCGGCACACCAATTCTGTTCTGGATACACATTTTTGGCTCTCAACTCAACATATAAATCATATCATCATTCAAGTAAATGGTATCCAAATAAAACAATTATAAAGAATGAAGCAAAACAGAGAAACTGAGAAACACAAAATACCTTTTGAGAGTTGCACTTGATATTGAGTCTAAATAACATAACAGGTAACTCCCTGATATTTCCTTGATTATTGACCGCTGACAATTTTAGCCAGGAGTTGTGTGCCAAATGTACCCCACACAAGCACATGGGACACAGCATGATGGGAATTATTTAACTCTTAACTACTTCACTGTTTGTGTGAGCCTAAAAGCATCTGTGTGCCTGTACCCACTGTGTACCTGTGGGATTTGTAGGCAAGGACTCGTCTTTGAGGTTTTCATCCCATTCATGGAGTTGTTTCTTTACTCTGCTCATGAGAGTTTTCTGGCGAGAAACACATACACAACCATAAGTGCTAAAATGTTTTCACTGATATTATGGAAATGTTGATGGTTGTACATTTTCAAAAACATGTCAGAAGTACTATTCATTTGTAAAGAGGTAAAATTGTGGGGGGAAAAAAATCACCCCTTTAATGCTTTCAATGCAAAATAAACATTTGTAAAATTTATCATGTAAAATGTATAATAACATTTAATACAAGATCAAACTCACAGAGTCATATAAGGCATACACCCAGGGAGGCCACGTGGTCATACTTGCACAATGGATCTTCTTCTGTGAAAGAAGGTAAGAGGAACATTACGTATGAAGAAAAATGTGTTACTTATGATGTATAAGGATAACTTATTTAAAAAGTTAATATGGTTTGCAATGGCAAAACAATGATAAAGCAGAATAACTTGTCTAATTCAATCTAAAGCAGTGATTCTCAAACTTTTTGACACAAGTACCACCACTGTCCAACCCAATATTCAAAGTTATAGTTTTATAACCATGAAATAGTGTTAATGAATACTGTGAGTGTCGATATAGCTACATTAATTAACCACAATTATTTCTGTGATTCCAGAATTTTTAAAAACTGTATGTTCTCAGTATTGTTTTTAAAATAATAGTTTAAAACTGAATTTTTTTTTCAGTTTTAATCTTGAGTGTATGTTTGTTTTAGCATTTTAATTAAGACTGCCATCAAAATAATAACAATAATTCATAATAATAATTAAAAAATAATTAATAGGAGGTCTAATGCTATTTTATGCATGTTGAGTTATTTACTCTGTTAAAGAGTTGGATTCTCATTTTTTACAGTCTATGATTCTCATCTGATTCTCATGCTAAACATTGCCAGAGTTTCAAAAAATATATGAATGTAGAATATAGAGTATTTCTGTGTCAAATATACTCCTTCTGGTTTTGTACAAGTTTTGGAGAGTTTTTTTCGAGCTTGGCTCTTCGTGACGTAATGAAGGGTGGAACTCCTTGTATGGGCATTTCTCCCGGAAGAGTACGTCCGCGCACACACATTGATCAGAGCGAGAGTGAGAGCAAGAGCAGACCATCATCGCACTTCATTTGGCTGCACTGAATGGGACTCGTTCGAGAAGAATGACTCCAAAGAAGTGTGTTTTTGGTTGTAAGGGAAAGATAACCTTGTTCAGCTTTCCAAAGAAGCCAGCGTTAAGTGAACAGTGGATGCAGTTTGTTTTTCCGGGGCAGCAACGGAGTTTTGCAAGTGTGTTTGTTGACGAACGTTTTATAAACAAGGCCCAGTTCGGCGCTGGATTTGCACATCGTTTGATACTGAAAGATGGAGCGGTCCCAGCTATAGAAGATCCCGGTCATGATTCAGAACTGCAGACGGTAAGTGAAACGGCATCAAATGTCTGTGTTTTGTTGGCAATCGGCCAAGTGCTCGTCACTCTTTAGCTCCGCCCACGGCACACCTCCAGGAACTCGGCTGTTTTCGGAGAGAATCGGAAAGCTGTATTTTTCTTTTATAAATATAATAAAACTAAAGACTCTTTGGAGCTATGAACGATGCTTTACTACTCTATAGGTACTCAAGATCAACATGAGATTGGGTGAAACTGTGTGTGTTATGTCCCCTTTAATATTATATTAATAATAATATATTAATAA